ACTCGCTTCAGGGCTTTGAGCTTCCCTGTGACCGTCATTTCCTTGTAACGTATAATTGAGTTGGCCATTAACAATTGCTCAGTTAGCTGCGTAATGGTGAAACCTGGTACCCCTCAAATGCAACTTTCTTGCCCGTTTTTACAACTTGATGTCATCGAAATGAAACACTTTTCTCTGAATTGGTTTGGGTTGTGGAATGATTCTTGCAGAGATAGTCACGGTGAGTCACTATCTCTGCCAGGAACTTGGGAAAATAAATTCCCCCAAAATAAATGGAGAGGGTAGGGTTTTGACTGGTCAGCCCTGCTCTCATCCTTAAAACAAAGTGACTTTAAATGAGCATTTCTTTGGCCAAAATATAGAAAATAGATAATGCTAAGAACTAACAATTACTTGGGAATATGCTTAATCTTCACTAGTGATCAAATGCAAATTTAAATGACAGATGCCATTTACTATAATGAGATTTAAGTCAAATTCATATATATATGAATCCCAATTGCATGGTGTGGTAGATGTCAGGAAAGAAACAAATAGGAAACTGACATAGGAAAGAAAAAGAGCCCTGTTTTAGGTCCTGTGGTCAGAAAAGGCCTAAAGTGAAATTTAAACTGAGACCTATTGGATGAGAAGGAACCAGCCTTGCAAATTGTATATGGGCATAAGGGTTGGAGGAGTATTCCTAGCAGATGCATAACACAGGAAAAGTAGGAAGCAACTTCTGGTAAACTGGAAGACCAGTGTGGATGGTATGTATTGACGGAGGCAGTGTCAGGAAAGGAGATAAAGAGGATCGTTTCTTGTCTTTGTTTTTTGGGGGAATAGGGGCCTGGGCTGCCTTAGTAAATACTTAGTATTTGCCACAGTAAATAGTGAAGCTTGGATTTTATTCTACTCTGCTTAGTCCCAAAGCCAGTCATGACTCTACCTCAGGGCCTCCCTCCACATGGAATATTCTGCAAAGCTCACTCTCTCACCTCTTTCAAGTCCTTTGCTCAAAGGTCAGCTACTCAGACTCAGTGAAGTCTCCCCTGGACTCTCTGTTTTATTTTATTTTATTTTTTATTTTTTGAGAAGGAGTCTCTGTCACCCAGGCTGTAGTGCAGTGGCACCATCTCAGCTTACTGCAACCTCCACCTCCCGGGTTCAAGCGATTCTCCTCCTTCAGCCGCCAGAGTAGTCCCACTACAGGCACGTGCCACCATGCTCAGCTAAATTTTTTTGTATTTTTAGTAGAGATGGAGTTTCACCGTGCTGGTCAGGCTGGTCTCATACTCCTAACCTTAGGTGATCTGTCCGCCTTGGCCTCCCAAAGTGCTGGGATTACAGACGTGAGCCACCACGCCCGGCCTGGACTCTCTATTTTAAATTGTAACCACACACACACACGCAAACACACATAAATTTCCCATCCCTCACCCCTTCTTTCCTTCATAACCCTTACCCCTGTCTAGACTTCATTATTTCATGAGGGCAGAGATTTTTGAGGGCCTGGTAAATAGAAGGTGTTCAGTAAAAATGTGTTTCCTGAATGAATAGGAAGCTGTTAAGTAGAGAGTGACATAATATAATTTCTGTTTTTAAAAGCAAGCTGTAGCTGCTGTGGGAAGAACAGATTAGAGGGAGACCAGTGTCGAATCAGGGAGAGTAGTTAAAGAGGATGCTGGACGTGGTTCGGGTAAGAAATGATGCTAGTTTCAGCTAAGGATTATGCTCTGGGGATGAAGACACTGCTTTGGACTTAAGATATATTTTGAAAGAGCAGCAGACGTACTCATGTTAGTGGTGGTAAAGAAAAAGGAACAACAAATGATGATTTTTCTGGCTTGAGTTACAATGTGAACTGGGGTGCAACTTCCTGAGAAGGAGAAAACGTGGGGCAGAGAATTGTTGGTGTCATTTTTGACCCATTGTTTTTGTGACATCGAAGTGCAAGTGGTAATTAGGTTGGATATGCAAGTCTGGAGCTCAGAGGAGTGGTCTGAATGGGAAATACAAATATGGTTTGAAAATCACGTTTAAAAAGATATTTTAAACAAAGACAATGTTAGGCTGGGCACGGTGGCTCACCCCTGTAATCCCAGCACTTTGGGAGGCTGAAGCCGATGGATCACGAGGTCAGGAGTTCAAGACTAGCTTGGGCAACATGGTGAAACCCAGTCTCTACTAAAAATACAAAAATTAGCCGGGCGTGGTGCACACCTGTAATCCAAGCTACTCGGGTGGCTGAGGCAGGAGAATCATTTGAACCCCCGGGATCAGAGGTTGCAGTGAGCTGAGATCGCACCACTGCACTCCAGCCTGGGCGACAGAGCAAGATTCCATCTCGGGGGAAGAAAAGAAAAGAAAATGCTTAGCAGTAGTGCAGGTAGGAATAGAAAGAAACTGAGAAAATTATGTCCCTGGAAGCATTGGTAGGAAAGAAAAACAGGGAGATGGAAGGAGTAAAAGAGGGAGATGGGGCTATGAATATGGTTATGAGAAGGAAAGACAAAGACCGGGGTGAATGAGAGAAATATGTCAGTCATACCCAATGCAAGGGGACATGGGCACAGCCTGCCAGAAAAAAGGAATGAGGGAAGAAAGGAATGAGCATGTTAACTGGAATACTAGAGAAAGTGCAAGATACAAGTCAAAGGGGGACAGGTGAGAAAATAGGATTGACTATAATCACCATTAGACCTCAACCCAGTACATGTGGTTGAGGAAGTATCCACAAGGTCTGAGCAGTTCCAAGGTCACTGAGGTGGGCCTAATAGAAGATCTGTAGCTAGAGGAATGAGAAGAGAGGTGAGGATGGAAGGTGATCCTAGGAACTTGGCCATGAGGAAAATAAGATAACATTGTTAGGCTTCAGCTTTGTCAGCTCAAAAATGGGCAAGGTCTGCTTAAGGCAGGAATTTTAACCTAGGATGCATGGGAATTTAACCTGGGACATCAAGGATGTCCACAACACCCTGAAATCATTTGCATGGTCTTATAAATATGGCATTTTTCTGTTCAGATTAGTTATGGATCATTTCTATCAGACTCTAATCCTGACCTTAGCAACAACAACAAAAAATTAGAATCTGGTGAATAGAGCAAAACATTTCATCCAAAAAGGAACATGTCAGCCAGAATAAGAAGGTAAAAAATAGAAGGATTCAAAGGAGACCAAAAAATAAAAATAGAAGAAGTAGTAAGCGTCTGTGAAAGGAAGAAGGTATCCAGTCTCATTTAATCAAGAAGCTGGGCTCTCTGAGAAGTCAAACTGGTCAGATCTGAAACCAGTGCTATTATTCATTTAAATTATATGACCCAATCCTCTCACTGTGACTCTGTACCCACCCAGCAGCCTTCTGATCATTCTCACTAAGGAGAGAAGCCGTGATCGGACCGATGAAAGGCACTGGTCCACCAATACATTTTTATCATTATAAATTACATAACCTACCCTCTCTCATTTTTTGTATCTTGTACATCATGTGAATATTTTTAGTATGAGTCAGCTTTCAGTTCTGGGACTTGAACATGGTGAAGTTTCTGAACCTGTTTTAAAGCTTAGTGAGGGCTTGACACAGGACCATGGGAAAATCCATCAAGGTAAATGTCATGTTGTGAGTCTCTTTTAAAAAGGTAGCTAATTCTCATGCATCTAATCCCAGCACTTTGAGAGGCCACGGCAGAAGGATCACTTGAGCCCAGGAGTTCAAGACCAGCCTGGACAAAATGGCAAAACCCCATCTCTACAAAAATTTTAAAATTTAGCTAAACAGGCTGGTAATTGCCTTTAGTCCTCGCTACTTGCAGAGCTGAGGCGGGAGGATTGCTTGAGTCCAGGAGGTTGAGGCTGTAATAAGCTATCATCACACCACTGCACTGTAGCCCAGGCAACAAAGTGAGACTGTCTCAAAAAAAGAAAAAACAAAAACAAAAAACAGCTAGCTAGTTTTGAGCTGGGCGCAGTGGCTCATACCTATAATCCCAGAGCTTTGAGAGGCAAGGCAGGAAGATCCCTTGAGGCTAGGAGTTCAAGAGCAGCATGGGCAATGTAGCAAGACCGTATCTCTACAGAAAATTTTAGAAATTAGCTCAATATATGGCCAGGTGCAGTGGTTCACACCTATAATCCCAACACTTTGGGAGGCTGAGGCAGGAGGAGTGCTTGAGCCTAGGAGTTCAATACCAGCTTAGGCAACATAATAAGACCCTGTCTCTACAAAAAATAAAAAAACCTTAACTGGGCATGGTGACACTCGCCTGTAGCCCCAGCTACTCAGGAGGGTGAGGTGGAAGGATCTGCTTGACTCCAGGAGGTTGAGGCTGCAGTGAACAGTGATTGTGCCACTGCATAGCAGCCTGGGCAACCCAGTGAGACCCTGTCTCAAAAAAAAAAAAAAAAGCTGGATGTGGTGGTGCATTCCTGTAGTCCTAACTACTCCAGAGACTGAGGGGGAGGGATGGCTTGAGCCTAAGAGTTCAAGGTTGCAGTGAGCTACGATCATACCACTGCACTCCAGCCTGGGCATATCAAGACTCTGTCTCAAAAAAAAAAAAAAATTAGTCCGTTGGTTTTCTTCTCTTGGCAGTCCCTCCAATTTCAGGGGCACATGTTTGAGAAATGCCCTACTTTTCTATTGGAAGCATCTACATAAAGAACTTTTTTAGTGCTAATAAAGATGAACTGCCTCCTTTATATGTATACACTGAAGGAGCCCTCCCACACTCCACCCCACTCCCAGTTCTCTTAAAATGGAGACGCATTTGGTTATGCCCCAGGACCATGTGTGTCTGCAGGGAAGAATAAATAACCCACTCCTAGAAAAGTCAATGGAAAGAGCTGGGGAATAACAATACTAATGGCACTTAAGTAACTAAGGTTTAATGAGCACTTAATGCCCAGCACCATGCAGAGTCCTTTATCCTAATACTCCATCAACCTCAATACTAGATACTCTTGTTATCTGTATTTATTTCTGTATCACAGCAATCTGTATCACTGTATTTCTGTTTCACAGACCTTAGTCACACAACAGCAATGGCAAGATTTTCACCCAAGCAATCTGACTTGGAACCCATGGATTAACCAACTCACTATACTGCCACTGGAGGCAAATCCAGAGACCAAGGGAGCAGTTTATACAGAAACAGGTCTGTTATGGGTGGAATTATGTCCCTTCAAAAAGAATGTTGAAACCCTAACCCTCAGTACCTCCGAATGTGACCTTATGTGGGAACAGGGCTATTGCAAATGTCGTTAGTTAAGCTGAAGTCATCTGGGATAGGTTAGACCCCTACTCCAATGTGACTGGCATCTTTATAAGAAGACAACCAGGCTGGGCGCAGTGGCTCACGCCTGTAATCCCAGCACTTTGGTAGGCCAAGGCGGGTGGATCACAGGGTCGGGAGATCGAGACCATCCTGGCTAACACGGTGAAACTCTGTCTCTACTAAAAATACAAAAAATTAGCACAGCATGGTGGCAGGTGCCTGTGATCCTAACTACTTGGGAGGCTGAGGTGGGAGGATCACTTGAGCCTGAAAGGTTGAGGCTGCAGTGAGCTGTGATGGTGCCATCACACTCCAGCCTGGGCGAATGATGTTTTGGTCTGGCATGGTGGCTCAAGCCTGTAATCCCAGCACTCTGGGAGGCTGAGGCGGGCGGATCACGAGGTCAGGAGATCAAGACCATCCCGGCTAACATGGTGAAACCCCGTCTCTACTAAAAATACAAAAAAATTAGCTGGGCGTGGTGGCGGGCACCTGTAGTTCCAGCTACTTGGGAGGCTGTGGCAGGAGAATGACGTGAACCCGGGAGGCAGAGCTTGCAGTGAGCCAAGATTGTGCCACTGCACTCCAGCCTGGGTGACAGAGCGAGACTCCGTCTCAAAAAAACAGAAGACAACCATGTGAAGGCAGGGAGACACAGAGATGGCATCATGTGAAGACAGAGAATTGAATTAATGTATCTATAAGCCAAAGAATGCCAGATTGCCAGCAAACCACCAGAAGTAAGGAAGAGGCAAGGAAGGATTCCCTTACAGGTTTCAGAGAGGGAGCATGGCCCTGCTGACACCTTGATTTGGACTTCTTCCCACTAGAACTGTGATACAATAAATTTCTGCTGTCTTAAGCCACTCAGTTTGCAGTATTTTGTTACAGAGGCCCTAGGAAATTAACACAGTGCCCTTCTTTCTTGAACCATGGACAGCAGTTGGTAAAAGGGAATGTGATGTCATTCAGAATGTGATAAAAGAGGGCTGTCCCCTGCCTCCCCTCTGAACCTCAGGTGCCCTGGCTTCCCGGGGCAGGAGCCCCATCCAAGGGGCTGTGATGAAGGGGCCAGGCATCATTACCACCACATACTACTTGGGAATTTTTTAGCTAGCTATTTAAGATCCTGATTCTGGTTCTGTTTAATGGGTGGCTGTCAGGAATATGGTTGGCCATATTTCCCAGCTTCCCAGAGCCCTCTCCATTCTTCCCAGCTTCTTCCAATTGCAATTTAATTTAGAAATGGAGCCTAAGAAACTCTGCAGACTCTTTCAGGTAGGGTGAAGTTCTGTCCACAGCCAATTTAGGTCCTTTAACTACAGCAAGGTTCATGCATATAGAGAAGCAATTAAATCATCAAACAGTGTTACTTACCTCATTTGAGTCCATGGGAGATATCTTCTGGTCCAACTATTGAGATCCTCCTGGAGGCCACCCAACCATGCTGGATGCCTGTGTATGGGCATTTGAATTGCTTGAATCTGTAGGGAAACTGCAGTGAACCCTTTCTGGGTGAGGTTTGTAATCTCATGTACAGTATTTGTTTTGTTAGTTTTCATACCCTTAGGCACACAGGTGCAGCTGAGATGGTCTGAAACAGCAAGACCCAGAAGTCTCACAGAACTGCAGGGAGATAGGAGCTCCCCTGGGGATGAGACATTTGGCCAAGGTGACCTAATGCCAGGAGTGATGGGTCAGAGTACATAGCAATATGAGACCTTGGACACTGCACCCAAATTTTCCATTGCCGCCAACCTCCACACACCCCCTGCTATTCCTCTGGAACCATTTTCTGGCTTTACCTATTCTAAAACCTAGCAAATTTCTTCGTAATCTCTGTCTCCCATTTGATCAGGCACACCAGTTTCCCACAGATGAATGCATTCTACCCGGGACTGCCATGAGCCTATTCAGTGGCATTATGCAAATTAGGCAACAGGTGTTCCACTCCCTAGACAGGCACAGTCCTGTGCGAAGCTTCATAATGAGTGGAGTGCAGAAGCCCAGCCTGGATTTCAGCCCCTACTTGCCCTTGGTTTGGATGCCCATGTGGAGGGCTTGACCTGCATGACCCTCTGAGACACTTTTGTAGTTGGGGATGAGTCCTAACAGAGCTACGGCTATCTACCATGACACAACCAACCAGACCTCTTAGGGTTTTGTGCACACACTGCAATGGCTTCATTCATTTAATTGCTGCAGAAGCCTAAAGTATTGCCTTGCCCAGCACAGATACTTTAAAAACACTTGTTTGGTGACAACCCTAGAACTGATATCAAGATTTTTGCTTACGGTTGGGTGCGGTATCTCATGCCTATAATCCCAGTGCTTTGGGAGGCTGAAGTGGGAGGATTGCTTGAATTCAGGAGTTCAAGACCAGTGTGGGCAACATAGCGAAACCTTGTCTCTACTAAAAATAAAAATAAAACAAATTACTTGGGCATGATGACATGCACCTGTAAGGGATGTCAGCTACTTGGGAGGCAGAAGCGGGAGAATCACTTGAGGTTGGGAGATCAAAGCTGCAGTGAGCTATGATCGCACAACTGCATTCCAGCCAGGGCAACAGAGTGAGACCCTGTCTAAAAAAAAAAAAAAAAAAAAAAAAGACCATTGCATAGTGTTTAAGACACTGGGCTCTGGGAATATTAATCAGTACAACCACTTTGCACAACAATATGGGAAAACTCTAGTAGACTTAAAAATGTATGTAAACTGCAATCCAGCAACTGGACTCCTACAACTGTTACTGACCTGCTTAGGGAGACATGTATACAAATGTCCATTGAGACATTGTAATAGCAACAAAAAAAAATTTCTTTCTGGAAACATTGTCCATCAACAGGTGAATGACTAAATAAATTATGGTGTAGTCCTACAGTGAAATATTACATAGCATCAAAAAGCTACATATATTAACATGGATGAATCTCAAAAATGTATTTATTGACGGAGAAAAAGTCATTTCGGGCACGGAAGGGTGTAAACAATATGATTCCTTCTATGTAGTTTTTTAAAACCCACAAAACATTGCCTGTGAATGCATGCATATGTTGAAAAAACAAAAACAGGCCTGAGTTGCCTGTCATGAGTGTCACCAGATTCAGGTTGAGAGTTATCTTGGGATCAAGGATAAAGGAAGAAGAGAAGGATATAGATCAGTTGAAGTTCACTGTGTACCCTCCCAATGGCAAGTACACAAGGAACTTAACCTGAATCTGTAATATTTTATTTATTTAAAAGCACTGTAAAGACTTGAAGCAAATATAAAAGGTTAAGGCTTTGCGGAAGCAGAATTACATTGGTGTGTGTTGTATTCATCTCTATAGTTATTTGTGTGATTGAAATGTTTTATAAGAAAATACTTTCTCTTTGCAACATGGGGTTTGAATCTGTGCTGGCCGCTAGCAGTGTGACCTCAAGCAAGCTACCTAGCCTTTTAGTTTCCTCATCTGTGAAATGAAGATAATCAAAGGACCTATTTCTTGGGATCATTGTGAAGATTAAATGAAATAATCTATGTAAAATACTTTGCACAATGCTGAGCACAAAAAATAAGAGCTATTATTCCATTTCAAGTGCTTTCATCAATCAATCAAGAGCAAGTCAAAGCTCATTCAACAAATATGTATTAAGCAACTCTTCTGTGCCAGGCCTTGTGTAGAAGGCTGTGGTTACCAAGGTAATTTACACCTAATCTGGTAGGGAAGGGAGACATGTACATAAGTTAAGGCTGAGTGCAGCAGAATCAGTGTCATGATAGAGGTTAAGTGCTAGGTGGCATGAGAGGTGGTAAATGCCTGTGAGTTTTATTCTGCTTGTGTTAGGGTTAGGGAGGACTGGACATATTGCTGATACTCTTTCTGCATCTGGTTTTCACCAAAATAAACCCTATTGCTTCAGTTATTTTTGTTGCATAACAGAGTACCTCAATATTTAACAGCATTTAAAACAACAGCTGATTCTTAGCTCATCAGGGATGGTTTGTTTGAGTTCCAATGTTGCCAACTGGGTGACTTAACTGAGGATAGAGGATCCAAGATGGTGACAATCATGTCTAGAGCCTCAGCAGTGATGGCTGAAAAAGCTGGGCTGGCCACACATTTCTTTTTTCTGTGGTCTCTCTAGAAAGACTGGTCCTCTTTACCTAGTGGCTTGGGGCTCCAAAAAGGTGAACCCTGAAACTGTCAGACCTAAGTCTGGGTGTGATGTAGTGATGCTGCATTCTATTGGTCAAAAATAGTCACAGGCCAGCCCAGACTTAAGAGGAGGGTCAATAGACCACCTCTTGATGGGAGAAGCAGCAGGACATTGTGGACATCTGTAACCTATTGCATCTATTGTGTCATATTCCATTTTACAGCCAATTTATGAATTAGGAGGCACCTAGCTGGTGAGATTTTGGGACTGCTTTAGGAATCAATGGTGTGAAATTTATTAGGTTGGTGCAGAAGTAATTGCGGGTTTTGCCATTGAAAGTAAACTATAAGGCCGGGCATGGTGGCTCACGCCTGTAATCCCAGCACTTTGGAATGCCAAGGTGGGTGGATCACTTGAGGTCAGGAGTTCGAGACCAGCCTGGCAACATGGTGAAACCCCGTCTCTACTAAAAATATAAAAATTAGCTGGACATGGTGGCACACACCTGTAATCCCAGCTACCAGGGAGGCTGGGACAGGAGAATCGCTTGAGCCTGGGAGGCAGAGGTTGCAGTGAGCTAAGGTCGTGCCACTGCACTCCAGCCTGGGTGACAGAGCAAGACTTTGTCTCAAAAAAAAAAAAAAAGTAAAGTGTAATGGCAAAACTCACAATCACTTTTGCACCAACCTGGTAGCATAGCAGCAGTTGTAAAACACAGGGTTCATTCTGATTCAAGCAGCAAAGAAAGAAAAAAGAAAACAAAAAAAAATTTTTTTAAGTTTTTAAAAAAGATGAAATAATAAAATTTTAAAGCCCAACAATACAGGGTTCAAATCCACATTACAATACTAACTCACTGTATAACCCTTGGGCAAGGCATTAAACCTCTCTTCCCACCCTCGTCTCATCTGTGAACTGAGGAGCAGCAAGATCTAACTTCCTAAGGTTATTTGAGAATTATTGAATATATATTAGAATTATAGAATTATATAATAGAAAAAATGCAAGGAAAGTGCTGACCCATAGAGGATGAGATGGTCAAGCAGTGCCATAGTACTATTCTTATTAATAGGCTTCTTGCCTTTCTTCTTAGGTAAGGTAATATGACATCTATTTGGAGTCATTTATTGATTTGTCATGGGAAAACCCAACAGACTTCTAGTATTGTCTGCCCCTCCCTGAAAACCTCAGCAGTTATGTCATGGAGTTGGGGCATGGCTTTATGAATTTGTTCGACCTTTTGGGAAGCAATTTAGTAATCATTAACAAGAGACATAAAAAACGTTCATCTCGGCCGGGCGCGGTGGCTCAAGCCTGTAATCCCAGCACTTTGGGAGGCCGAGACGGGCGGATCACGAGGTCAAGAGATGGAGACGATCCTGGCTAACACGGTGAAACCCCGTCTCTACTAAAAAATACAAAAAACTAGCCGGGTGAGGTGGTGGGCGCCTGTGGTCCCAGCTGCTCGGGAGGCTGAGGCAGGAGAATGGCCTGAACCCAGGAGGCGGAGCTTGCAGTGAGCTGAGATCCACACACTGCCCTCCAGCCTGGGCGACAGAGCGAGACTCCGTTTCAAAAAAAAAAAGTTCATATCCTGTGACCCAATAACCAGACTGCCAGAAAATTATCCCAAGGGAATTGGTTCAAAACAAAAGCAAAGTCCGTACATATCAAGCTCCTTAGGGCAACTAAAAATAGAGAAGCAGCTTAAATGTCTGATAGTAAAGGAATGGTTAGCTAAGTTATGATACAAATAAATACATGTTGGAATATCATGCAATTGCTAAAAATGACAATTATTACTGCATGGTAGCAGGGAAATTTAAAAAAATAAAATGTTAAGTGACAAATTCAGAATTCCAAAATTTCTCTATATGAACGACGATCAGAGCCAGACATGGAAAAAACATCATTTGTTTGTGTTTGGAAGGTTGTTCTGTTCTGTTTTGTTTTGTTTGTTTTGTTTTGTTTTGAGACAGGGTCTGACTCTGTCACCCAGGCTGAAGTGCAGTGGTGCATTCATGGCTCACTGCAGCCTCAACCTCCTGGGTTCAAGTGATTCTCCCACCTCAGCCTCCTGAGGAGCTGGGACTACAGGCATGAGGTATCACACCGGGCTATTTTTTTTTTGGTCAAGACAAAGTCTCCCTATGTTGCCCGGGCAAGTCTTGAACTCCTAGGCGCAAGCTATCCTCTTGCCTTGGCCGCCCAAAGCACTGGGATTACAGGCATGAGCTGTCACTTCTGGCCGGAACTGATTTTTTTCTTTAAAAATATTCTTTATTGTTATTTTAAATCGAAGTCAGGAAAAAAATATAGGCAAGACCACTTTGAAAGATGATTTATTTAAAAGGAAAGGCCACATAATAAACGCCAGAGAATGAAGTCCAGAGAATTTAAAAATACAAGTGCTTAGGCTTCTCAGTGGAGATTATAATTCAGAGGGTCCCAGTTGGGGAAAAACCTGTATTTTTTCAGAGCTCCTCAAGTAAGTTTGATGTGAGACCCACTAAGGTAGACACTCATTATTATCCTTTCAGATAATGTAATAAGCACCCTGATCAGAAATAGCAATTCAAGGAAAACTTACATCATCACAGCTTTTTTTTCCCCAATAAAATATGTTCCTACTTGTGGAGCTTTTATATTTCCATTTATTTAGTTGTACTCTGTCAAATTTTTAGCCTTTGTACATAATGCAGAACACAGAAAGAACAGCTTTTGATAAAACACTTGTGGTTCTGTATAATGTAAGGAAAAACACACAGCGTGAGAGCTGGTGGCCTAGGGTTGAGCAGGAAGGGAAACAGAAACAGAAAATGTGATCTCAACATCGGTTAAGAGATACTGATGGGAATTCCAAGGATAACCTCCCACTGAGACCAGCTGTGACGCTTTGCTGAGGAACAGACATACTGGGTAGCCTCATGAGATGTAATGTGCATGTTTTTCTTTCTTTCAGATGCCGGCATTAACCCACAGGGAGTTATTGTTACAGACTGAAGAACAGAAAAAGAAAAAGCCAGATAGAGCCTTATTCCACCCAGCTTAGCTTCCATAGAACATTGTGAATGAGAGAGTAGATTCTTGAGAAAATCCTGGAGTTACCCAGTTTTCATGACTCGTTTCGTTAGACCATCATTTCCCAAACTGTGTTCTTTATAAAAAAGCAGTTCTTCAGAAGGCTGGAAAGTATTGTTTGGAAGGGGGTTCCATGGTGAAGTCAGTTTGGAATGCAGGGTTTACCCAATTTTGAGAAGTTTCTTTGCAGGACTTCTCAGGGCCTTTGTGAATCTCCAAGAAAAGAATGTAGTATGAAAGATGAAAACTTTCTCCTGGCTGATGGAACACACATTGCAAAGCACTTCTATAGACCAATATGATTTCCAGTAAGAGCTAAATAAATTTTGTCAGTTGTTAAGGCATAAAACATTAATATAGGATATTACAGTCCTAGGCTTGCATTACTTAATTTGGATTTTTCACCTAAGAAAAATTAACTTTAATGTGAAAAATTAGGAGACAATATAGAGAAAATTCAAGAGCCTCTCCAGATAAATTCTTAGAACTAATGACAAAGTTCTCTAAAGTTTCTGGATATAAGATGCCTGGGATGCTGGAGGGGGAAATACTTTCTTATTTATTAATAGCAAGCAATTAGAATAATATTTTAAATACCATTTATAATAGTATCAAAATCTATAAAGTATCTAGGAATAAGTCTAATAAAATATGGCCAAAACATTCATGGAGAAAACTTATAGCCTTTATTTAAAGACATAAAATAATTCTTAAACAAATGGAGACATTATTAAATATGTTTATGGATGGAGAGACTCAATGTAGTAAAGATGTAATCTTCTCCATCTTTCACTTCCTTTGCTTCCTAATTAAGACTTATATCGCTTTTGGCTGGGCACAGTGGCTCACACCTGTAATCCCAGCTCTTTGGGAGGCCAAGGCTGACAGATCGCATGAGGCCAGGAGTTCGAGACCAGCCTGGCCAATAAGGTGAAACCTTATCTCTACTAAAAAAAATAATAATAATAGCTGGATGTGGTGGTGTGTGCCTGTAATCCCAGCTACTTGGGAGGCTGAGGCAGGAGAATCACTTGAACCTGGGCAGCAGAGGTTGCTGTGAACCAAGATTGTGCCTCTGCATTCCAGCCCGGGCAACAGAGCAAGACTCCATCTAAAAAAAAAAAAAAAAAAAGACTTATATTTCTCTTCTCACCCTTCTTTCACTGTCAGAATGTCTCCTGCCCATCTTAGCAAGCCTCTAGTGAGACACATTTTGGAGCTCCATCTAAAGATCCTCAATAGTAACCTGATGTTCGTAAGGTTTCTAGTGAAGTACAAAAAGCTCTCAAGCCGGGTGCGGTGGCTCACGCCTGTAATACCAGCACTTTGGGAGTCCAAGGCGGGTGGATCACAAGGTCAGGAGATCTAGACCATCCTGGCTAACATGGTGAAACCCCGTTTCTACTAAAAATGCAAAAAATTAGTCGGGCTTGGTGGCGGGTGCCTGTAGTCCCAGCTACTCGAGAGGCTGAGGCAGGAGAATGGCGTGAACCCAGGAGGTGGAGCTTGTAGTGAGCCGAGATTGTACCACTGCACTCCAGCCTGGGGGACAGAGCATGACTCCATCTCAAAAAAAAGCAAAAAAAAAAAAAAACAAAAAACAAAAAACTCAATGCATTTTAGTGTAATATCAGATTCTTTTTTTATTTTTTTTGAGACAGAGTTTTGCCCTTGTTGCCCAGATGAGTGCAGCAATCTCAGATCACTGCAACCTCCGCCTCCCGGGTTCAAGTGATTCTCCTGCCTCAGCCTCCCGAGTAGCTGCAAATACAGGCATGCGCCACCACACCTGGCTAATTTTTGTATTATTAGTAGAGACAGGGCTTCACCATGTTGGCCAGGCTGGTCTCGAACTCCTGACCTCAGATGATCCACCCACCTCGGCCTCCCAAAGTGCTGGGATTGCAGGTGTGAGCCACCACGCCCGGCCTGTAATATCAGTTTCTATGAAGGGCCTATGTAACTTATTTGTGTTCTCCAACTACTAGATATGTCTTTAGATGTGTTAGCTAGAAAGGGCTTTTTAATGCTCAAAATTGCCCAGTTTAATTTTACTAAATGTAGTGTAGTAGATGTAACTGGAGGTAGTTTCCTGGCTTACAATTCTCCCAGCAGCCACATTCATGCTACACTTTTTTCTAATGATAGGCTCAATTCCAAATCATGGAGGTGGGCAAGTGACCCAGGTGGATCAATGATAATGCCTCATTCCTCTAGCCTGTGATTAGTCCACGTGGTGGACGCATGACCCAAGCTGGGCTGATCAGCCTTTCCCCATGGAGGGAAGAATAAAGCTAACAGGAAAAGAGCGGCAGAGATAAGAGACTGACAGTTTTTAAATTCCTGGCTCTAGTCACTCCAGCACTTTCGTGGTTTGAGAACATCAGCCAATAAAGGCCCCCTTTTTTGCTTAAATTAGTTCAGCGTGGCTTTCTGTTTCTTGGAACCAAATAATCCTCAGAGTAAGTAAGCACCCGCCTGGATTTTTCAGTCTACGTAGTATATAGTCAGAGGTTATCCAGGGAAGCAGAACTACTACTTATGGGATAGGAAATGTATTCTAGGATGAGATCTTACACATTTGTAAGGGGAGCCAAGAAAGTGAAGATCAAGGAGAAAAGTTGGGGATCACAGAAGAGATTACTGTTTGGTCAATCTGAGAAGCTAAGCATATCTAGCCCCAAAATAGGATGGCAAAACAAGCTCATGGGAGGTTAGTGGGAAGCCGTCCCTCTGCATAGCTACTGCCTTTGTGCATCACTGTCAAGTATCTGGTGGTGAGTCAAGAGTCACCATTGGGCTGGGTGCAATGGCTCACACCTGTAATCCCAGCACTTTGGGAGGCCAAGGCAGTTGGATCACTTGAGGCCAGGAGTTTGAGAGCAGCCTGGTCAACATGATGAAATCAAGTCTCCACTAAAAATCCAAAAATTAGCTGGGAGTGGTGGCACGTGCCTGTAGTCCCAGCTACTCGGGAGGCTGAGGCACAATAATTGCTTGAACCTGGGAGGCGGAGGTTTCAGTGAGCCAAGGTCACACCATTGCACTCCAGTCTTGGGGACAGAGCCAGACTCTGTCTCAAAAAAAAAGCCACCGTTGTTCCATAGCATCAGCAGTTGGTAAAAAGAGGTAGATTGGGAGCAGAAGACAGCAAGAAGGCAGAGAAGGCCCTCCAGGCCTTCCCGGACTAAGTCCCTTGCCGTGCTCCACCCATCCAGCCAGGGGCAATGTTGCTGCTTACCTGCTGACATGCTTTCCCAACAACAGCTCCCACAAGCTTGATTTCTGATTACAGCCAACCCATAACATGCTTGAGCAACACTTTTCCAAGCCTTTTTGAATCTCTGTTGTTTATGCAGATGCCCCTTGTTCTCCAGAATCAGAGGCTCGCTGCTTCTTGTAGATACCCTCACATCGCATGTTAACCTCCTTCTCAACTTCACTAAAGTTTAAGTCTCCTTTGATGACCCTTTTTGGGGTCATATTCAAACAGCTTCCTCAATGTCTTTTTTTTGTATAGAGTATAAGTGGGGGCCGGGGCAGTGGCTCACTCAAGTAATCCAGCACTTTGGGAGGCAGGAGTTAGAGGCTGTAGTGATCACATCATTGCATTCCAGAGACTGAGAGGGAGAGGGAGAGACAAGTGGACCTGGTCAACCCCTTCTAGCCCAGCACAGCTGAGTTTCACATTCAGTTATATTTCATTTTCTGGCTGAATTTCTTGTCAGTTTAATACCAGTAAGAAGCAGCTGACTTTTTTCCGAAGAAAAAACCATTGTGGTCATTTTTATCTTTTTAATTACCAAAAGAAAATGTCTGCATACCCAACCATGATCAGAGAACCACAAAGTTATATCGAGATGGAATGCCAGACATTCACTCAAGTCATTCTTAGGTCCTCAGGGGTTTAAGATCCTTGTCCTGGCAAAATGGCAAATGACTACATCTCATGGATCTCTGGGATCACCCCAAAGTATTTTGAATGGTGACTGTGGTATCCAAGAATGCCAAGGGTGTTAATTAAATACCTGATCTGTTGCTACCCTCTGTCCACCTCTTGTTATACCAGATGACTCTGAGGCCTCCAATTTTACTATAAAACTTTATTATCGCTCACGCCTGTAATCTCAGCACTTTGGGAGGCCGAGACAGGCGGATCACTAGGTCAGGAGATCAAGACCATCCTGGCTAACACGGTGAAACCCCATCTCTACTAAAAAATACAAAAAACTAGCCGGGCGAGGTGGCGGGCGCCTGTAGTCCCAGCTACTCGGGAGGCTAAGGCAGGAGAATGGCGTAAACCCGAGAGGCGGAGCTTACAGTGAGCTGAGATCTGGCCACTGCACTCCAGCCTGGGTGACCGAGCCAGACTCCATCTCAAAAAACAAAAAACAAAAAAAAACTTTATTATCAGCTTCCTTGCACCCCAAGTTCCGAGTTCTGCCTGCCATACTGGATGGCCTCCTGGCACCTGCACTCATGGGCTTCCCTCCCAGGGCATGCCCCACCCCAGTGGGTGTGTCACGTGCCAGGCATCCACCCCTCCCAGTGCATCTTGTTTCCCCAATACTCTGGACCCAGTTGGCTAGAAGGGTTGTCATTGCCAATAGCACATTAAGCACTGAAGGTACTGACTCGTGGAAATTGTTTTAAATACCTCTGCTTGCTCTCCAGGGAAACAGATCAAGACAAAATAAAGGCATCTTTGAGATATATTTGGATCATTAAGTCATCTCATATGAGCCATGCTAAGGTCTAACAAGTCCAGCAAGATTATAATTGACCACATGATAGCCATCAAATTAGGCTTGAGTTCAAGTGTATGATCCAATGGTACTTTTATGTGCTCTACAGTTCATTGGACTCCCTGTGTAATCACTGTATAGAGTACCTCAAAGCCCATTTTATAGAAGTTGGAGTGGCACACATTTATTGTTTTAGGTGATTACAGATTTTATCATCTTTTAGGATGTATTTTTGACTTAGTTCTGAGTCCTTGGTCAGGAGTACATGGTCCCATTTTACTAGTTTTCCTATGGTACCTATTTTTTTCATTCCATGAATATTTTAATGTTTAAATGATCCACTCTACACTAAGCACATCATAGAGAGTTCAGCCTCTGACTTGGCACTGAGGTTATGGGCATGTGGGGCACAGAGTAGTGGTGAGGGCTTGGGCCTGAAACTTCGTGAAATAAATATGATCTTTGAGCCGGGCACAGTGCTTCACACCTGTAATCGCAGCACTTTGGGAGGCCAAAGCCGGCGGATCACTTGAGACCAGGAATTTGAGACCAGCCTGGCCAGCATGGTGAAACTCTATCTCTACTAAAAATACAAAAGTTAGCTGGGTGTGGTGGCGCAAACCTGTAATCCCAGCCACTCGAGAGGCTGAGACAGGAGAATAGCTTGAACCTGGGAGGTGGAGGTTGCAGTGAGCCAAGATCACACCATTGCACTCCAGCCTGGGTGAAAGAGCTAGACTCCGTCTCAAAATATATATGTGTGTGTGTGTGTGTGTGTGTGTGTGTGTGTGTGTGTGTCTGTGCGTATAAAATCTTTGGAGGAAAAGTTCTATTCTAGGACTTGTAACTGTGACAAGTTTACTAAATGGCAATAAATAAATAAATAAATAGAACAGGGAGTAGAATAGGGAGACTGCT